TTAATAATATATTTGAATTGAGAGGAAAGGAAAGAGGAAATATTTTTAACTAATAAAATTATAACGTTTTAAAAATAAATATTTTTTATTATAATTTTATTATTTTTTATTTATTTTAATTAATTATCATATTATGAAAAATTTTACTTTATTATTTAACTTTTTTTCTAAAAGTAATATAACTAAACACATAAATAATCTCTAAATTTTTAATTTAAAGATAAAATAAAAAATTATTATTATTATGAAATAGAGAAGGTATATGCTAAAATTTCTAACTTTAAATATAGAGATTTTTCATTCTTAAGTTTTGAAACGGATAAGGAACGATTTAAGAAATTAGATGGTCCCATTACATAATAATCTATACATTAAATATTCTAAAGAAGAAAACAAACATCAACAAATCTAATCGAAGCACGTTATGAAGTGTAGGGCCGCGATTATGTTCAATTTTAAATTAGGGGTGGGTTCTCTCAGCACTCCAATGCAACTAGTTTTGAGAAAGTTAGAGTGTAAAACCCACAAGAAAATTCTAAGAAAAGAAGGATCTATAATTTCACATAATTGTTGCGGGGAAGTCACGTGATAGCTCTCTCTTACCAGTTCCAACTACTCTCAAAGCGTTGCAACAACAATATTAAGTACTGTAGGGAAGGAAGTTGGTTTGTCAAGATTCAAGCTCCTCTCCATCAACCATAGAGAGCTGCATATCCTCATCCATAAAAATTAACTTTCATATTAATGTTACGTTAAATTATAAGTTATTGATTTAGCACTCTCTTATAAATACCCTTCATTGTTCGATATTTAACAAAAAAAGTGTTTTGCATCCCTTTATATGGTCACAGTGACAGTCACGCTTCTTTAAAATAAAAAGCAAGTGGAATGTACTTCAGTCTGCAAGTCGAGTTTTAGGCTTGAGTTTCCTCGAACAAATACTAACCTAATATTGTTTTTTTTTTTTGTCAAAAAAAAAAAGTTTAAAATACAAGTTTGAATCTCTATCTTTAAAGTACCGATTCAAAGGAGAAGTGCTACAGACACTCATCCTAACACTCTCTTATAAATGCCCTTCGCTGTTCGATATTTAACAGAGAAAGTGTTTGGAAGAAGTAGTGCTAGAAAACCATGGCTGGCATGTCTCGTATCCAACATAGAAGCACTGATGTGCAACTTTTTTTTGACTTGGGTGCTTAATCACGTGCATTTGGCTTTATTATGCTTGGCATTTGTGAAGTGTGTTTTCTTTATCAGCGCCATCCATCTCAAGGGCCCATTCGCTCCTTCCGAACAAATGCAATCTGTTAGTTGCACTTTTTTTTTGGCGGGGAAGGGGGTGGGGGGCAACTGGTTGGACTTGACTTGATATTGACATATGTCTTCAATCATTGATCAACATTACTATAATATATTCTTAACCCTATGATAAACTACACAATTTAAACAGAATTAGATGTAGAGATTGAAATTTGAACTAAACAGAAAAAAAAATTATATATATATTATGCAATTTAAATTGTTTTAGATTTCATAATTTTAATTATTGGATAAGCACAAACCTAATATTAAGGACTTCTTCTTTTATTTAATAATTTTTATTTTATAATTTAATGTAATCTATACCCTAAAACAAGTAACTCTTAATTAGTTGGAACTTGGAAATAGAGGTGAGCTTCACCCAGTCCAGGCTGTGTAACTGTATTGGTTTGGGCCAGTGAGTTGCTCATTATGTGCGTAGGCCTGAAAAACGGCCTGAAGCTGGGGTACACTCCGAACGAGAAATTTCGTTGGGCCGTTTAAGAAAATAAAACTTCATTCCTTAGCATTCAAAATTCCAAATCAAGTATCAACGTAACAAATCCTCTTTATTCTTCATTTCTCATAACAAAATGAAAAAGCCCATATAGGCGCAAACCAACCAAAGGCAAAGCAAAAGTACATGTGGAGAAATTGAGTTTGAACTTTGAATGTCAATTGACGGGGTGATGTGCATGGTAAGCGGCAAATTTAGTTGGATTTAGGAGGGCTAGTCTTCCTTCCCCCAATTGATTTACCATGGCCACGACATCCCCAAAAGGGGCAACCACCCTGGTTGCCACCTCCCCCCCAACCCCAGCCGCCACCTTGACCCCCTCCTCCTCCACCACCACCACCGCCACCGCCTCCACCTCCACCTCCACCTCCACCCCCACCACCACCCCCTCCATTCCCACCACCACCTCCTCCCCCTCCCCCGTGTCCTCCACCCCACCCATAACCTTTGCCATTTCCTGCTCCTCCTCCTCCTCCACCACCCCCTCCACCACTGCCGCCACCACCACCACTGCCACCACCGCTACCTCCCCCTTTTCCACCAGCATTTCTTCTTCCCTTTCTCTTGTGTGCTTTACCCTTTCCACCATTGCCACTTCCTCCACCTCCTCCCCCACTTCCACCTCCATTACCACTACCGCCACCTCCTCCTCCACCACCACCACTACCGCTGCCCCCACCTCCTCCTCCTCCACCTCCACCTCCATTGCCTCCTTTTCCACCACGGTTCACATTGACATTATCTTTCCCTACCATTTCCTTGGACGAGTTTGTATCTTTTTCAAGCATATCTGTAACCAAGCCATGGCTTTCAGCAGAAATCTTATCCGTTAAAGTAGCATTGGATTGAGCAACCACATCCCTTTCCTCAAATCCATGAACCCCATCAACGAAACTAGTGCTCAACACCACTACCAGCAGAACCAAAACTCCAACAACTCCCCTCCTTACACCCATCTTCTACCTCAACTCGAGAATGCATAAACTCACTCTCCCCCAACCCATTTTATACTCTTTCCCCGCACTCCTGACACCACTGACAGCTAGATACAGTCCCCACACACAAAGAACAAACACCAATCCACCAAACGGCAACCTCTTCAAAAAGGCTGCAAGAGTGTAAGAAGTATGCCTTGCGCCCCAATTTTGTCCCCACTGCCATTTTTATTGCTCAATTCATACCTGTACCTTAGGAATTGTTAACAAGCAATCTTTTTTATCAATTGGCCTTATTAGCTTGAGCACGATCCCATGTTAAGTAGGTAGGGACTAAATACTACAACTAACGAGGACAATATGCTGCCTTTTACTTGACGAATGAGAATGGAGGTAGGAGGGATAATGGTAGCCATGTGACAGAGATCGTGGGGGGCGAATTTGATTGAGTGGATTGGCGGTAGATAATGTTCCGGACAAAAACCTTGCTCAAGTGCAATCCAGATAATGTTCCAAAAGCATAATGTTCGTGCCATCATTCCTCCATGGGAATGAAATTATCTCCGTTTCCTCACGCAAATTTTATATTCTTTGCCCAATTCTGTTCACAAAAAATTATGCCATTCAAAGTTTTTGGAGAAGAACCATTTCAAGCCTTTGGAGATTGTTTTGGGCCGGGCCCTAACATAAAAATTAGATATCTGATTTCTGTGCTTAATGGGCTGTTGAACCCGCCACAGAAAGCCTATTTTAATTTTTACCAGCGTAACTCCGGTGTGGGCTTTTGGCCCTTAAATTATGGACCTTATAAGAAGACAATTCTCTATGCACCTAACTATTTTGTGGGGAACCAGATTGAGACAAAAGCAGTAGAGAATAAACATTACCGTCCATAAAGGAAAACAACAAAACATGAAATGGGCTACCTAGCTACCCATATTGTTTGATTTGGTTAGGTAAAGATTCTTCAGCAATAACAACAAAAGCCACCAAAAAAAATACATTATCTGGGGTATACATTACCAAAAGTTTTTTTTTTTTTTTTTATTAATCTCTCACTATCCGATAATCATATTGGATCTTAACTAATGCAGAATTGAATCGCGTTGGATCTATTAGGAGAGAAATTCTTTCAGTACCTGTTTTTCTATTTACAAGAATTAAACTTGAGACGTTACTTAGAGAAATTAAATTCTTTCCACTCAAACCCATAGGTAGTTGGTATTACCAAAAGTTTTGCACTACCCAAATGCCTTCTGTGACATCATATGATATGATCTCCCTCTCTTGCTGCTAAATATATCAAATGTTTACCAATTACAAGTTCTACGTGTTTTGTCAGCATAAAAGAACAGTATATGTAAATACCAGCCATTCACGGAGTCTTGAGGTTCCACAAATCAGTATACATTGGACTTTTAGAAAATTCAACTCTTCGAGCTAAATTCTAGGTTTACTGGACAAACATCTTCTGACCGTTACTCTACTAAGTTTGTATTCCACCACCATGGTATACAGTCTTGCCGCGGGATTTCAATATTGGAATATTTATAAAATTTACAAAGAATTATCTTCTTGTAATCTTGGCCTATTATATTTGTGTATTTGTAGCTTGGCAATTGTACAGTACGAAGCTAATATGAGCTATAGGTATACTTAGCTGCCTGCTATTGCTGAACCTTATGTAAATGCAAAGTGTCCGGAGGATAATGACAAAGGAGCAGGTGGAAAGGGTCAAAGGGGCATCGACGTCGATCCCTAGTTGAGGTTTCAAAATTCAACAATGATAATGTTTCAATTGTCCACTTGTTCAGCTTTCACACCTACAATTAGGGTTCTGTATTTTGAATTTCTTAGTCGGGCTCTTACAACATTGGACAATAGTTCACAATTCTTCTCAATTTCTTGCAGGTTTTTTCCTCCCCTCCTTCGGCAGAATGAATTTTCAGCATCAAAATCCCCTAGCATGACCGGCAAAACAACCTAGCCGGCAGCCCACCTAGTTTAATTACCACTTGGTTTGGCCAAGTGAACAAGATTATAGAAAAATCGAGTTATCTTATATCATATAACTTATTTATTAAATATATACTTACAAAAATTAGAAATAAGTATTAAATAGAGGAAGCTTACCTGCTATCAGACATATATTTTCTTCATATTGGTGCTAATTTCACTACTGAAAAGGGAAAATTCAATGCAAAGGGGGTTGGTAATTAAAAATCAATGTCAAAATCCCCTAATCTTGTCAACCCATAGAAACGTATGGTAACATCAATGAATTAATGATGATGGAAGCACCATGCAATAATCAAAAGCATATGGTTGAATCCCCAGTTGGAAAAGAGGCAGGTAAGTAGATACGTCATATATACAAGGTGTGAGGTCAGGGTGACCATATACACGAAATAATTAAATTGGGCCGAAAATGTTGCTTTGATTATGAACCCTTTGGAAAAAGTAATTAATTAAGCTTATAAATTTAATAATAATATTTGTTACAGTTAATTTTAAGGACCTTGATTGGTGCATACCCAGATCCAACACCCGAGTGTGCACTCCCACATAAAAAAAAAAATTGAACCGGGTGGGTGATGGACATTTTTTTTTTTCAAAGGGGAGTGTGCACACCCGGGTGTTGACCCGGGTGTGCACATATCTTTATCCTAATTTTAATCAAAGTTTTGATTAATGATTAAGTAATTCCTCCTTTTACTTTTGGTTAACTTGTAGCAGAGTTTAGTCTGTTAAAGTCGTAAGATCTCAATGTCCAAGTCATCAGATACTGAACAGATTCAGATCAATACGCCTCAAATAATATTGTCCTTATCCCACTGACATTATGGTATAAATATTCTTACGGTGGCAGTCTGAATATTATGCGTATAAAGGTTTTATTTGATCAACGGCTTATTAATTTGAATGAAAAGAGTTTAATTTTTCTTGATTAAGATATCGAGTTCGAGTTTTATGAATAGAGAAACAAGTGCTGAGAGAGCTTCTCTCCTAATAAAGTTTGACGCAATTCGATTTTAAATTAGTCGGATCTAATATAAATATCAGATACCAAAATATTAATAAAAAAAAATAAAAGTTTTATTCGATTGACCTGTTAGAGAACATATAATAGTTTTTTTTTTTTTTTAGAATGAGGTTGGTTTTCTGAATTAGGACTAAATAACAACCATCCGTGTGTGTGAAAAATTTGTTATTATTTGGCAATAATTAAGTCCAACATTTTGGCTAAAGGCCTAACGTGGATTTTCGCTTTTAGGATGACCTTGTCAAACAGAAATCCCGTGTGGCCATCACCTATGATGAAGACTCTCCACCACACTTAATTTCATGTTCTTCCATCTACTTGTTTTCTTCAATGGCACCAATTTTATACCGCGTCAAAGTCCAGCGAACTACACTTCCATTTTAGAGTTTGTTCATTAACAGAATCAATCTTCCGTACAGATGAATATTTTGGTATGATAAGTAATTCTTATGTTTAAGATGTTCTAATTTCTTGGGTAACAGTAAAACACTAATTCTAGGGTAATTTCTGTAATTAATACAATATTATCTCTGTTCCAAAATAACTATTCTCATTTGACTTTCAATTGTTTAAAATTAATTTTTGTTGTTTTTATTTTTTAAGGTAAACAAATATTTTTTTTTACTTTAACCATATTATTATTTATTTATTTTTATTAATTATTCTATCATAAAAAATCTTACTTTATCTTTTAACTTTTTCTTAAGGGTAATATAAATAAATACATAAATTGTTCTTAAATCCTTAACTTGAAATAAAAGTAAAAAAATGACAATTATTTTGAAAGAGAATGAGTAATTTCTATGGTCTTTTGTATATATATGTGGTTAGGGACTTGGGAGATCCATTGTACTCCTATTAATCCAATTATCAACTGAATTTTTAAAAGATTAAAGGAAAAAAAAACACTTAAAAACTATGTTATTTTAATAAAATATTATAAGAAAATAGTGAAAGAATCTTATTTTTTTAATTTAAAAATAAAATATTTTTAGTTTTATTAATGAGAATTCATTAAAATGATATAATTTTAAAATATATTTTCTTTTAATTTTTTAGAGATTCCACTGATAATACAATTTTTTCTCACAAAATTCCTTCATATTCGACAGAAAATTTTGTCGAATATACTGCGTTTTCCAGTAGTGTTTAATGAGAATTCATTAAAATGATATAATTTTAAAATATATTTTCTTTTAATTTTTTAGAGATTCCACTGATAATACAATTTTTTCTCACAAAATAAAATATATATGCGCATGCACGCGAATATAATTAAATCACCGTCCATGTACCTTCACAAATGATATGTAAGCTTACACACAAACTACTTTTTTGATAATGACAAAATTCGATTTTGTTGCGACCTTACGGGATTAAAGTATACATACATGGAGTAAGACGAACAAAGTAAATTAACAATGCATATCTTATGGTCAAGGCAATCAAAATGTATAATATAGTTAATTAAATATAATAAACATCCTACCTAACTCAAATAAAGATGGCTCAAGTTAATTAATTATAGGTGATTATTTTATTTCTAAAAATATTCGATCTCCATTGCTGAAAATTTCCAGGCTAACAAGTGGGTGAGAATTGTCTTCTGCATGCAAAAGAGTGTTAATGTTAATGTTTTGACTAAAGTATTTTTTTTTTCCTGCGCTTTGGGTAAAATTACAAACGAAGCAAAAGAAGCTAATGGGTAAATGGCGTGTATAAGGAACGCCTATACCGTCTCCTGGTAGGATATTATTATATATCTAGGCCCACAGTGGGGGCTTGTAAAGGTAGTTGTTCGGATAGGTATGACCAAGTGCTGTCATGAAGTCTGCTGCATGGTTTCCGTCACGAAGAGTATGTTGAATCAAACTTTGGAGAAAACTGGAGCAAAAGCTTCTGCATATATCCAAGATGTTTATTCAAGATTAATGGGGTGTTGTTCTGACTTTTTAAAAACAATTACAATTTGTTAGTTTTAATTAAACAAGTTAGATATCT